GGGAACTGCCATGCAACCACACTCTCAACAACCTTCGCCGTGAAGCGAAGGTTGGAGACCGGGCGATAATTGGCCAACTCATCTGGGTCCAGGGAGGGCTTCTTGAGGAGGGGCCTCACCACGGCTTCCTTTAGGGTTGCCGGGAAGACTCCCTCCTGCAAAGAGGCGTTAACAATTCCCTGGAACCAGGCTCGTGTCCATGAGTTGGCATAAAATCAGCACCATACAAATTTGATAAACAAATGCATAGAGTTCTAGAGACTGCAAAAGTAATTCCTAAGTCAAATAGGGTTTGAGGTAATGATCTAGAAGTAAACATTCATGTATGTAATGTTTGATGAACTAGAAAAAGTGATTGGACTTAGCAAGGTTGAAGGAAACAGAAGAAAGGAAATACAAAATAGGTGGAATTAAAAAAAACAAACCATTACTGGAGTGTCCATGGAAGAGTATATGATGAAGATGATCCAGACTATGAATATTAGGTCACTGGGACCTAACTACCTAGTTAAATTAAACTGAACTCTGCAAAGTTTATTACTGAGTAGACATGTTAAGAATTTTGCTTTAGTAGAGTGTAAACAATATACTTTATTTCTGTATAACTTCTACTGAATTTTATGTGAGAGTTAAGTGATTGATTATGTGCTATAAAATCAGTGTTGACTCTTAGCAACCACATAACCTTCTCAAAGGATGATTGGTTCCCAATCTGGCACCCATCGCTGTTGTAACTGAATTATTATTACTGGTTGTCTTCTTCTGTTTATTTCCACATTTCTCAGCATTAAAACTGATCAAGAGAGTTGGATCTTCACATAATGTGTTCAAAATATCACAATCTGAGTCTGGTCATTTGAGCCTTGAGTGGCAACTCTGAATTGATTTGCTCTATAATCCATTCATTTCTTTTCTTGGCTTCTCCAATTCATTCATTGCTATCCTACCAAATGCTAGTCTGTGGTATAGGTCTTGTTTATTGGTAACTTTACTGTTGAAAGGTAAAAGGTAGAAATTACCCATTACTTCAATATCTTCATTGATAGTTCAATGTTTGCTTTTATCTGTTGTCATTAGTTTGGCCTTCTTTATATTTACTCTTAATCACACTTTTTATGCACTTCATGATTTTCATTATAAAGGCTGGCAAATCATTTGCATTTTTGGATACTTTAAGTAAATAGTGCATACACATTTTTTGCTTGCTTCGCCAGGAAAGAAGGAAAAACAAATAGCTTTCTTTCTTGAAGTGTCCAATGAGTATTAGTGTGGGAAGCCCCCCCCTCTTTCCAGAAAATGTAATATTTTGGGGAATATTAAAAGAGGCAGAATATTATATTTCCTAAAGGAGAAGAGGAGAGACATCTTCTTAAAGGCAGAATGCACCCTTCAATCTTCCTACTGTTGGAGGGTAGCCTGAAATATTTGGGAATGTAGATTTTGTAATCCATTCATACACAAAACTCCTTCAGCCACAGCTCCCACAGAAGGCCAAAGCTGATGGGATTAGAAAAAAGTAGAAAAACATAGATTCTTACAATCTGCATTCACCTATCTAAATCCAAAGATTAGGACGTGACCTTTCAGGCACAATAAGAATTACCCAACACCTTTAGAATAGCAAAAGATACAAAACTCAACACATTGCACAACCCCCCCGGAACATCTCAATTTCAAAGCCCCATAACCCCATAAAAATCCGTCCACTTAACCAACCATTTTGTCAATTGTCCTAGAATTGCATGCTGTTGTTGGTTTTGCTCATCAATACTGTAAACCTTCTTTCCTAAGCAGCCTCCATTTTATTTCTAGCATCTCTCTCCCAGCTTGGAACTGGACCTGATTTTTCTTCCAACATTAGAAAGAAAGGTATTACATACACTGGCAATATCAATATGAACTCATTTTGTGGCAATTCCTACAATTGCACCAAATTGTATTCTCACCTATTGTTCTCAGTATTTCTTTTTCTTTGATATCACTTGATTAGAAGTAAGATATGCAGGGTTTTTTAAAAAAAAAAATTAACAACCTTACTTGTCTTGTAGGTTGTATAGAGGTGAAAAAGAGACAAGTCAACACTAGTCAAAAGTTAAACAATGGGAACTGCCCTGAAAATGGTAAAGTTCATTCATTTATCTTTTGATCCACAAATAGAGGATATTCCTGTTTAATCTGCAAGACACAGACTTGTGTTTTTCATACACAAAATAGCTATCTTCCCTAAACATAAAAAGGATTCTTCATATTCCTAAGCTGTTAAAAGTTTAAGGCTATTTTTTTTTGTAGGAAGGATTTCCCTAACAGAAACTGGTCTTATTGTTCTGCTAGGCAGCTACTGAATCATCATTTCTTCAACCAAAAAATACAAGAAAAAACAAAGCACCCTTCTTTTTGGAAATCATAGCAATCTGTGTTATGTGCAATCATTTCTGACCAGTTCACAATTGATATATCAATGAAGGTGATAATACTCTTACTTGGGCAAAACATTTTTCATGTACCAATTGAACCACTTAGGCAATTTATGAAAGGGAAGTTCCACTTCTCTGTGATAGCCCACCACTGCTCTCAAGATGTTAAAGGTGCTGACTATCCTCAAAGGTCTGAGGGCCCCTATATTATTATACACATTCAGTACAGAAAAGCACTCCTGGTTTATTGAGATTAGATCAGTGATGACGAACCTATGACAT